CCCAGGCTCTTTTTTTTTGACTTTTAGTTTCTTTATTGATTAGGGTATTACATATGTGTCCTTATCCCCCTATTACCTCCCCCCCCCCACTCATGCCCTCACCCCCCTGTTGTCTGTGTCCATTGGTTAGGCTTATATGCATGCTCTCTCATTTTATTTTTAAATGTATTTTTTATTGATTTCAGAGAAGAAGGGAGAGAAAGAGAGAAATAGAAACATCAATGATGAGAGAGAATAATTGGTTAGCTGCCTCCTGCACTCCCCACACTGGGGATCCAGCCCACAACCTGGATATGTGCCCTGATTGGTAATCATACTGTGACCTCTTGGTTCATAGATCAATGCTCAACCACTGAGCCACACCGGGTCAGGGCCCCTTTAGAAAAGTACAAAGAGCTTTGGGAAAAGTAACAGATCAAATATATGACCGTATGAGTGAAGCTGGATGATCACTCTCCACTTGACTGAAAAGCTGCTGATATTGCAGGTTGGAAGTTTCTGAAAGCTGAGTAAAAGGCTCAGAGAAACCAAGACACTTTCATTCATTCAACATTATTGAGTGCCCACTGCATGGTGTAAGACGGCCAATATTATAATGCCAGTGAGATGTCCCTGCTCTTAAGTGGTTTCAATTGTGGCACCTGACTTTGGGCCCAAGTGAAGACATTTAGAGGTGATGTTCAGGAGGGAAATCTGGGCAGGGGATATGTGCCTGGTGAGGTTGGCTGGCATTACTAGTTGAGATCATAGATAAGACCACCTGGGGGAGAGCGAGAAGGGTTGGGAGAAAAGGGGAGAGGTTGATGATGGAACCTGTGGGAACACTGACAGTCAAATGATGAAAAAAAATGAGGAGATTCGAAAAATGAATAAAGATGATGGAGCCAGAAAGGTAGGAGGCAAACTGAGAAGCAGTTTTAAGAGCGGTTGTAGTGTCCACCACCTCAGAAAGGCCAGAAGGGATGCTGATGGCATGTGTTCATTGAAACTTGCTGAATGTAAGGATTGAACCTCAAGTCACTGTAGCTTTAGTAATTGCTTATTGTATTAGTTTAGATGCTAGCACTGCATGTGCTGTGCATATTCTGATTTTATAAAGCTGAACTGCACAGTCTCTTTCGTTGTTGTCAATTGTGGTTTATTATTAGCAGTGACAATAAAGTTGTGCTCTTGCCTGAAAAAAAAAATTTCTAGAAGCTCATGGGGAGCTCAGAGCAGTTGTTCTGGGGTGTTGGGGAGGCACGGGTCTGACTGCCTTGTGCTGATTAGGGGATGGATGCTGTGGAAATGGAAAGCCCTTATGTAATTTATCTAATGCGCAGTTTGGTTCTAACAGTGCGATGGAGAGTGAAATACAGAGGACAGTAAATTCTCAAGCATCGCTGGTAATATGGGAGAAGCTTACTCATGTTTATGAGGAAAAAGAGTGAGAGCGAGAAGCTGGAGATATGGGGAAGGAGAGGATAATGGACAACCTTGGGGATCCAGAGCTGAACAGTCTTCCTTTTTTTCTCCCTAAATATATCTTTTATTGATTTTAGAGAGGAAGGGAGAGAGAGAGAGAGATAGAAACATCAATGATGAGAAAGAATCATCCACTGACTGCCTGCTGCACACCCCCTACTGGGGACCAGGCCTGACACCCAGGCATGTGCCCTGACTGGGAATGAAACCTTGACCTCCTGGTTCATAGGTTGATGCTCAACCACTGAGCCATGCAGAACAGCAGGACAGTCTTCCTTTAAAGGCAAGGAGTTCCCATCTGGAGTGACAAAGGCCCCACCACCACTCCCGTGGTGGGATCTCTGGTAACGGGAGGTGGTGTTGCAGCATCACCCAGAGGGCTCAAGTGAGGAGCTTCAGAGATGCTCAAAAGCATCTATAATCTGGAATGTGTGTGGTGTGATGTTCTCATTACTCACATGATGGCAAGTGGCACCCTGAGCTATAGCAATGGAAAGAAAAGTGTGACTACCTAGTTACTTGGGGTCACAGGCATGGCTGGGGTTGACAATCCAGGAAGGTAGTCACAGCAGTGTAGGCAAAGGGGAAGGAATGGAAGAAGCAGCAATGAATGGAGAGATGAACATTACTAACGATAAGAAAAAAAGCATATTGGTGACAAAGTGAAAAAGTAGTTGTAGGTTGTGACAGTGTATGGGAACGCTGCTAGGGGACCCGCAAGTCTATCTTAGAGCATGCTGATTGTAAACTGGTCAACAAAATTATGATAGAAACTAGAGGCCTGATGCACAAAATTTGTGCAAGAGTAGGCCTTCCTTTCCCGGCTGCTGACACCCAGAACCCCAGTTTCCTTCCAGCAGCCAGCAGGCACCGAGGATCTGGGCTTCCCTTGCAGCCCAGCTTTGTCCAGAAAGATGGAAGGATGTCTGGAAGGACATCTGGTCTAATTAGCATATTATGCTTTTATTATTATAGATGAAGTGCCTCATGTGAATGGGCAAAGAGGAGTATATCATTCCCATGTGCCTTTGGATTTTCCATTTATTTATTTACTAGAGGCCTGGTGCACAAAATTCGTGCATAGGCGTGTGTGTGTGTGTGTGTGAGTGTGTGTGTGTCCCTCAGCCCAGCCTGCACCCTCTCCAATCTGGGATCTCTCTCACAATCCAGGACTGCTGGCTCCCAACTGCTCTCTTGTCTGCCTGCCTGATTGCCACTAACCACTTCTGCCTGCCAGCCTGATCACTCCCTAACCACTCCCCTGCCAGCCTGACTGACGCCTAACTGCTCCCCTGCTGGCCCGATTGCCCCTAACTGCCCTCCCCTGCAGGCCTGGTTCCCCCCAACTGTCCTCCCCTGCAGGCCTGGTCCCCCCAGCTGCCCTCCTCTGCAGGCCTGGGCCCCCCCAACTATCCTCCCCTGCAGGCCCAGTCACCCCTAACTGCCCTCCCCTGCTGGCCTGGTTCCCCCCAACTGCCCTCCCCTGCCGGCCATCTCGTGGTGGCTATCTTTGACCACATGGGGGTGGCCATCTTGTGTGTTGGAGTGATGGTCAATTTGCATATTACTGCTTTATTATATAGGATTTAGAAAAAAAATTCCATTCATCAGTTTTGTGGTGCTGTGATATCCAGGGCAGTGCATAAAACCTATGGTTTAAACAATGTGTTTGATGAATTTCTGCTTTGAAATGTAGTAAAAACTTCAATAACTTGGAATTAGGTAGGCATTAGGGTGAATTACTTATTGTAATTAGTGAAAATTTAAAAATTTTTAAAGAAATGATTTTTACTGTACTAGATTCTGGAGGCAGTTAAAAACAGGCTAATAAAACTGGTCCCTTGAAGGTCTGGGAGCCAGTATTTATCAATGGTTAGGGCAGAATAATTGTCCTAAGTATATTTTGTTTCTAAATGGTGGGGGTGACAAGTACTGCTGAAGTAGTTCAAAGGCGTTTGGAAGGGTTTACACTTTTACGTTGGTTAAGCAGCATGTTCCATGCAGTTTTATTTTCACTGGTTTCTCCGGGAGGTGGTAGAACAGGCACATACTTTTTCTGACCTCTTTTAGAGCCATGATGGGAAGGCCCCTCATGTTATCCTCATTCTTCTTCCTACTGTCTAACACGCCTCTGTTAGGGCTTTGTTGCTGTGTATTACAGGGTTCTAACTTTCTGAGCCTCCGCTAAGATCATTCCCTTGGAATTAACCATGGACACGTAGTGCAAAATCGCTAGTGGAACAGAAAGAATGGGGATTTTTTTTAGGGAAGAAGGAAGAGATTCCTTTTGGAGCAGAAGCCCTCCCCTGGTAAGGCAGAGCGGGGTGGGTGCTTAGAATGGTAATTGTGAGTAGCCAGGGGCTGGGGCATTTGGGCACTGCCTGGTCACCACTTCCTATCACTTGCTGAGCAAGCCCTTTTATCATAGTTAACGTGAAGCCCACATGCACTAGTATCTGAGTTTTGATATATGAAACAAAAAAATAAAATCAATGGCAAATTATTTTTTTTAATAAAACCCTCAAAAATATTTTCAAGCCTCTCTCCCTCACAAATTACCAATGATGTCTTCAGCCACCCTGCGGAAATTTAATTTTTGTATGTTAGCATCAAATTTGTATACGGCCAGTTTGGTTGACTGGGACCAGTCAGGTCAGAACCCACCAATTAGTTCCAGAGAAAGACAGTCACATTAGATGTTTATTGACATCTTTTTAATGTTTTACTTTAAAACAAATAATCCCAGTAAAAGAGAGCAAAGGAAATGACATTTTCATGGTAGCTTGAAATGGATATGGTATTCCTGACTTATTTGTTTTCAGGAAACAGACAATTGCATTGTCGTACATGACTTTTAGAACTGCTCACGTAAATGCACGTACTTATATTAAATTAAGTTTCTCTTACAAAAACACAACCAAGTCATTTTAAGGCAAAAAAAAAATCAGCTTTTGGGGAGATAAGGTAATATTGTGGTATTTTCAGAAGTGATCCATTAATTTAGTTGCTCTTGTGTCCATATTCCTTACAGTTTTGCTTTGCAAATGGGCAAGAGAATTAGTCACTTTGTGCCTGGTGTCCTCCTCTCTCTCAGACTTGTTTTACCTGCGGATTAAGAACTTTCAGAATTGCTGAGTCGATGGGAGGTGAGAAAGGCACCCTTGAGCAGGAGATAATGACTAAAAAACTCAATAAAGTGTCTCCCTTTAAACAAAACTTGCAATCTACATATATTAACTTAGTTAAACACAATGCAAACATTTAGATCAGACACAGAACATCTTTTAGTTAACCTCATATAAGGGATGTTTGCAATGAAGTGTTAGCTTGATCAGCCCTGCATGTTGAAGAAGGCAGACAGACTGGAGCTGAGAAAGCATGTGGTTACTCAGTGCTCAGCGAAACTGTGCTTCTAGACACCATTTGGGATTGTCCAATGGGACTCTGCTAGGTATAAACGGGAGACCCCTCCGAACTCCCCAGAGAGACACACAACAGACAGACCCTACATTTTCCACACCACACAACTATCTTTGAATATCCAGTAATTTTTTTTTTTGTGCTAGAGTTAAGATAGACACAATATGGTCATGGCTTCAATGTACAACAGTTTCTCATAACATGGTTCATTGCATTTTGCTATGATTAAGACCTCAGTGATATTTGTAGGTTTTGTTTCTGAATCTTCTATCTTCAGCAATGCTGGATGAACTGTGCTGTGTTTGAAGCCCAAGGAGGGGTCCCCAATACATTCAGAATTCCTGCTGCCAGTGGGGTTTGACCCAGGACAGAGTGTGTCCAAGAATCAGCGCTGCCTGAAAATTGCTGCCTCCTCCCGCTTCCTCCAAGTATATGGAGATGTCTGGCTTTAGGTCAGTGGAGGTGTGTGTGCGTGCGTGTATTTGTGTGTGCGTGCAACCTCCTCCAGAGGGTGTATCACAACTTCAGGTTGAGTAGAGACATGGGTCAATGAAAAATTGCATTGGATAATTGACTAAGAGTCTATGTTTCAAAAATGAAAATAATTGCTTTAAAAGTTTGGCAAAATCCTTTTAGCTGGAGTGTAAAATTAGACTCTACCTTCAGTGTGTCTCCAGCGGCAGAGAAGATTCTGAATGATACACTCCAGGGGAATGTGCTAGAACTTGGGCAGGCAAGAAGAGGAAGCTTTCAAAATGTCGGTGTCTATCAAAAGGGACAGGGACTTTAAAAGGTTGGGAAGCACATTTTAGGTGGAGAAGTGGTTTCCTTGGGGTTGGAGGCTGGGTAAGGCTAGTGAAGTTCAGAAGCAAAATAGTGGCAGAGAATTGACAAGCAGTTACTGGAGAAGAAAAGTAAGGAGGGAGTCAGAGGTGGAGAAAGCAGGTTGTGAGAGAGAACTGGGGGATTTCAGGGCCTCCTCTTGCCTTTGGCTACCCAGTTGATATCCTTGCTCATTCTTTGGGCTGCTGGAGTTTTTCAGCAGGCAGCACTATTTGTGGGGGGTTGGGTGGGATGGGGTTAGGAGGAGGAGGCCTTTAAAAATGTCCTTTGTGGCTAGAGTTGAAGTGAATTGAGTGCTATCTTGCTTCTCCTTGCTTTTCGAAGACCATTACCTTGGCTGAAGTTCTGCGGGTCTGAGATCAGTAGACTGGTTTCTAACAAGTTGTCAGCATTGCTTGCTTTCTGGTAAATACATGTTCTATTTTATTTCTCTTGGGCTTTTTGTGGTCCTGTTATATGATGAAGTGTTTTGATTTGCAGACCCTGCCAGTGTTACCTGGCTTTTCTAACTATAAATGCTTATACTGTACCAGGAAACCGAACCAATAATTTCAGATTTGGGACAATATTCTTGGGGAGAATAGAAAATGTTCACTATAAGAAGTAAAGGAGGTTTCGTTTTAGCCGTTCATATGTAAATGTACTACATAATAGCAAAAAACATTCAGGGCATATTAAAAAATAAATACCTTGCAAAATTCTCTGTTTATATATAAGAATAAGATGTTTAGGTAGTTGAATTTCTTAGTAGTATTCATTTTCTAAAAAAAAAAAAAAAAAATTGAGTTCTTTTATTTTGGTATTTTTCTCTCCCTCTCATTGCCCTTTGAGGGGAAGTCACTTTCTTGAACTTCACTGACTTCCCAGTGTTGTGTCTCGGTTCTTCTCAGGCCTTCCCCATCTCAGTCTCACTCCCATGTCTCAGTCCCTGGGATCCTGCCTGTGAACCAGCTTAGTGGGAACGGCTTCTCACACTTCCCCTTTCTGTGGGCAGCATTGCCAAGTCTGGGCAGGCGCCATTGCGGAGAGCTCAGCCCAACCACACCGGCCATCCTACTGGTCAGCATTTCCTTTGTTTGGGTAGAAGTTGACAACTTATAAAGTTGATTCCAGCCATTAGAGGAATATGTTTCCATAACGTCAAAAGTGTCAAATAGTCAGTCTATTTGCCCCACTGGCCCTGAATTTCATGATTTGTACATTTTCTAATTGAAGAACATTCTCATCATAAAGAACAACATGAAAGTGATGTGCAAAATTGCTTGCCACAGCAGTAAATCGCCAAAAGCACACATACTGACATTCAAAGTACATTAATAATAATATGACTGAATAAGGAATGGGTTGGCAACTATATATCTTGAAATAAGCAGCCATTTCTACTGTTCCCAAATTCTGCTTTACTTGGTACCTTGCTAGCAGCTGTTGATGAGTGCCATTGTGTTTAAATATACATTATGGCCTAATTTTGAAAATATAGTTTGCATTTAATCGCAAAGCAGAAATGGCTGAAATTTGAAGGTGTTTACTCCCATAATTTCAAAATAGAGAGTCAAAATCTTCTAAGTGGCCTAATTTTCATACATCCCACAGCATTAGCAGTGTTTGGTTTCTCAGGATTATTAACTCAAGGTACGTTACTAAATGAGCGGGTTAATGTTGATGTACCTCGGAATTTCAGCCATCCCTAAACATGCATTTTCATGCAATTAAAAGATAATGGGCTTATAAACTGCCTTTCATGTTCTTCCTGATTCTTGCAAATTCAACTTTAGAAGGGCTTTCGAAATAGTTCATGCAATGATATGTATGGCTAAAGGAACTGCTATGCCTAGAAAGAAGACGAACTTATTTCAGTTTGACGTGAGGCAAGCTGAGGGCATCTGTACTTTCTCCGGCCTTACAAATGCTCTGAGATGATTGAGACCTTCCAGTCCTTAGTGAGTCTGACGCAAAAGCAGTTTCCCTGGCAGGCTGCGGCGCGGCATCGAAAGCGTCTGTCTCCGCCTCTTCCGAACCCACCTCTTCATCAGTTATAAACAATCTGGATTCCCTCCATTTGGGGTAAAAATCTTGGCTGCTTCTGGAGCCACTTGACTCGCTCCCCGAAAGCTGGATATTCAGCTCCTCTGTGGACCTGACCAGGTTTTGTACAGACAAAGATTTGCCCAAGTCCTTGGGCGCCACTGGGTGGACGGACAACAGAGTTTCTCCTCCCATGTCAAAGCTCTTCCTCAGAGAACGGTCCCTGGTCAGATTTGACTGTGCAACCTGAACATTTTCCTTGGAGGCAACAAGGCAGGCGGTGACATCAGGAATGCTCTCCTGTAAGCCTGTGGGGCTTGGGTGCAGGGTCTCTGGCCTGGGCGGGTGCTTGATGGCTGGGAGAGGAGGCGGGATCTGTAAAGTTGCTGGGGCTGCTGGCTTAGGGGCCGCATTTATTTGGTTTGCAATGTTGTTGGTGGCCACCACCGAGGAGCCATCGCTTTGACTCAGTGGCACCTGTGTTGCTTGACTGTGCATAGTGGGGCTCAGCGCGTAGAAAGTCTGAGCACTGAACTCATTTGGCGTCAGAATAAACTGCAGGCCTCGAGAGATGTTGGCACTAGCTGATCTGGTTAGGCAGCCACTGTTCTGGGCGGAGCTGGACAGGTCTTTGCTGTCCACGGGGCTGTGATAGTCAGATGTCTGTTCACATTCAAACGGTGGGATCTGGAATGAGGCCAAAGCGAGGGCTGAGGCGGAGCCTTTCCGGAGGACCTGCTGGTATATGTCTAGCAGGCAGTCCAGCTTGGACTCAATGGACTGTACCTGCAAATGGGGGAAATGGCCACAGATGAGTATAACTGTTACTAAGACAGGGCTTCACCTTTAGAATTAAAAAAATGAAACCATTGTGTGCCAATTCAGTAAAATATAGAGTTTAAGGATAATGCAGACCTGATAGTTATTACCATTTTATTTTATTTTAAATTTTTTTGATTTAGTACCATTTTGCAACGTCATGTCTAGCAGTGCTGGGGCCAAGGGAGGACTTAGGAGAGGGTTGCTTTGGCCTCTTTGTAATCTTCATTGGCACCCCTCTCCCTCAGTTCTTTAAAATGGACAATTGATATTCTCCAAACCCATGTAATCACTGTACAGATGCAACTTCACAACTGCCCAGCCCAGTCAGGTTGCCTTTCCCAAGCCTCTTCTGTGGAACTCTACTGCAGTATAGTAAGGAACTTATTCTTATTCTATAATAAAATCAAGACCTTAAATAGAAATCTAGGTGATTCTGAATTGAAACATAAAGACACAGAATGCTTCAGAATTAATACCTGAAATATTTATGATTAAATTGGGGTAGCAATTTGATTTCTGGAAAATGGTCTTTGTAGTGATAATGATTTTTTTTTTTTTACAGAGTGACCTAAAAGAGAGACAATAAGAATAACCAAAACACAAATAAAAAATAGATTTTTTTAATCTTAGTGTTGAAAATCTACAATTGCTTCCTGTGTGATGAGGTGAGATTTTCTGTTCCTTATATGGAAGTCCAAGTGTTTAGAGAATTCTGTCTATGCACAAAGAAAATTTCATTTCATTCGTTCTTTCTTGATTTACCTTTCAAAATATATTAATCACTAAAATACATCCAATTGCCAAATCCAGTTTTTATTTTAAAAAATTCTCGCTAAAATTTTAACCAATATTGTTCAGTTGTACCTGTTTTTCAACCTTGACCACCCGGCCGAGCATACTGAGGTCATCTGTGGTCTCATGTTCTGCCGTTATTTTCTCTCGGCTCTTCTTATCTGATGTGATTTGCCCTTTTCCAAGAATTTGATCAACACTAGCAGAGAAAGAGGACATCTGATTATGAGTACTGAAGATGGAGGTTGCCCTAGGCCAGAATGAAGTGTTTTGAAAAGAAAAATTCAATACAATTATCTTTAATTTATGTAAGTGAAATAAAAATGAACTTGTTTCAGTTGATGCGCTTTATTTTCTTAACATGAGAATTACATAAAATATTAATTTTCTTATTATTCTGGTCCAGGATGAAATCACTTAAGGGTGATCTTCTGGAGGCAAAATTGCCTTAAACTACAAATTACAGAGTGACCTAAAAGAGGTCACTTGTCTGTTTTCATCTTTGACCAAGTATTTCCAAAATTAACTACTTAAGCTATTACAATATCATAATTATGATGATTTCACATTAATAGATTACTCAATGAACATTTGTTGTTCATCTGATATGTGAAAGATAAGCAGATAAAAAAGCTACTGTAATTCTATTTGGAAAATATACTCTACACGAGTTAGATACTCTAGTTCTGAAAATTCGGTAGCAGTTCAACTTGATAAAAAAACCCCTTAAGAGCCACAGATAGTTGTAGTAAAGGACTTGGAAGACTGCTACCACGTAGGCAAAGCTTGTCACATGACCACAGGATGAGTTAAAACCATTTCCAAGGGGACTTGATCACCCTAACTGGGAATTACAGTACTTTCCTATTTTGTGTGTTTTAGAACTGAATTACCAGGAGGACCGACTCAACTTCCCGGTTTACTTTGTCTGCATAGAAATACAGGCAGTGCCTACCTTCTGTCATGGCATCTAATCTATTAAACTCCAAGCTCAAAAGAATGGGGTCATTACTTTATTAATATCTGGATGCCCACAGCACGTGGCACACATTACATGCTCAATAATTATCTGCTAAAAGAATGAATGAATGAACAAATTGTAATTTTTTTTTTGTAACTGATTGACAGGTGTTTTACTAAGGGTCTAGTTTATATCCCTTACCCTGGGCTAAGTGCGCTGTGGGCATATAAGCCAATGTTTCAGACTCAGTCCTTGTATTTTAAGACTGTTTCATCACAAATGCTGGTAATTTGTGCCTAAGAGTGAAGCAAAATCCTTAAAAAATGGAATTGACTAAATATTTTGCCTTCAAGATAACACAATTAGACACATAGAGTTGGAATAACATGTTGAACTAATTTCTTCTAATCACTCAATAAGATGCTCACTGGAAAAACAGTGTGTATCTAGTATTTACAGGACGTGAAGGAAGGGAAGGGCCCAGTCTTAATCACAAGGAAGGAGAACAAACTTGCAACCAGGAAACAATACAAGAACCAGCCAGTCATTTTTCAGTCTTGACTCTGGCACAGTATACCGAAATTCCGAGTGCTTTTATTCCCATAGTGGACTTTATTTTTTTGCTAATCCTCACCCAAGGATATTTTTCCATTAATTTTTAGAGAGAGTGGAAGGGAGAGGGAAAGACAGAGAGAAACATTGATGTGAGACAGACACATCGATTGGTTGCCTCCTGCACACACCCCGACCAGGGCCGGGGAACCTGCAACCAAGGTATGTGCCCTTGACTGGAATTGAACCCAGGACCTTTCAGTTCGAGGGCCGACCCTCTTTCCACTGAGCCAAACTGGCTAGGGCTCCGTAGTGGACCTTAAATGCTTTGGGAGGTCAGAGTAGGGAAAGGTATTTTTGTGGGCTGTATAGTCAGGTAAAGCCAAAGAGGAAAACTAGTTTATTCCTGAAGGATGGTTAGGATTTAGATAATAACAAAACAACAGCAGCAGCAATGATAATTCAGATGGCATCAGAACAGCCATTAACATTTATTGAGCACTCATTTACTGTGTGTTTAATTAATTCGATCCTCGTGACAACCCTAAGAGGCAAGTACTAACATTATTCCCATTTTGTTGTTGTTGTTAATCCTCACTCGATATTTTTCCATGATTTTTTTAGACAGAGTGGAAGGGAGGGGGAGAGACACACAGAGAGAAACATCAATGTGAGAGAGACACATCCATTGGTTGCCTCCTGCGTGCACCCTGACCAGCGCTGGGGATTGAGCCTGCAACCGAGGTACATGTCCTTGACCAGAATCGAATCTGGGATCTTTTAATACTTGAACCAATGCTCTATCCACTGAGTCAAACTGTTTAGGGCAATCCTTATTTAAAAAAATATGTTTTTATTGATTTCTAAGAGAGGAAGGAAGAGGGAGAGACAGATAGAAATATTAATGAGAGAGAAGCACTGATTGGCTGCCTCCTTCACGTCTCCTACTGGGGACCAAGCCTGAAACCCGGGGATGTGCTCTGACGGGGGAATTGAACCGGCGACCTCCAGGTGCATGGGTCGATGCTCAACCACTGAGGCACACGAGCCGGGCACATTATCCCCATTTTTACAGATAAGGAAACTGAGACACTGTATCATTGAAGGCTTCTAATACCCGATTTACATCCTTAAATAAAATCTATGCTAAAAGTAAGGCCCAGTTCCCCACTAAAATGAATTAGAACTATGGAATTTAAAAGTTTTCTCTTCTACAGAGTTCCTCCCAGATAGTTTCTGTGCCTTTCCTTTACAACAATAACATTTTCATTGCTCACCGTGTTTGAAGGCTCTTAATTCTACACAACATGTCCAGGTGACCAGCAGAATATTGTTCAATTACATCTTTTACATCATATGGGCGTAATGTTTCTTTAAACTTCCGTTTTGCAACATGAAATTTCATTATCCTGTAAGAGCAACAAATGACACATTGTAAAGTAAGTTACAAAAATAGCATACTAGTAAAATGTAAGAAACTCTGGGGGGAAAAAGTCATGCACCAAATTATTTTAGACTCCTATGAAAATGCAATATGAAAGCCTGAGATTACAGTGGACAATTTCAGAATATCTCATATGGGGCAAACCACTTACAGTAGAAAAACACACTAAAAAGAGATTATTTTGGAAGTGTTGCACCTTTATATTGTACCTTTTTAATGTTCATTGAAACCCTGATTTAAAATTAAGGTCAAAATGCAATTCTCCCTTTTCCATGTGATCCCCAGAAGTCCAAGATATAGCACTTACTGATTGCACCCCTTATGAAATATAAAAATTGTTAAAATGGTCTTTTATGTAACGAAATTCATTTTAAAAATACATTTTAATTCATTTCAGAGAGGAAGGGAAAGGGAGAGAGAGATAGGAACATCAATAATGAGAGAGAATCCTTGATTAGCTACCTTCTGCACGCCCCCTACTGGGGATGGAGCCCACAACCTGGGCATGTGCCCCGACTGGGAATTGAATCTGCAACCTCTTGGTGCATGGGACGATGCTCTACCAACTGAACCATACTGGCCAGGGCATGAGATTTTTTTTTTTATTACTATGCCACCCCCATGTTTTAAAACAATATTTTATCAATGCATTCCATGATGCCATAAATAGCTAAGCTGCATAAGATAACCAGTGCTTGCAATAACTTGGTATAATTCCTGAAGAAAGCAAAGAAACAATGGTTGAATGAGTCTGTGCAGCCTTATTGCCGGTAAATGTTAAGTCTTGGTGTTTTATCAACTATTAAGTGGCTCATAGACTCCCATTATCACATTCAGGCCAGGAATCAATCAAGGAGGCTCTATGAACCAAAATTTATTCTCCCTTGGTGGAAAGAGGGAAGATGAGGAACAAATGAGTTTAAACAGAAAATCCTCATTACCTATCCTATGTGAAAGCCAATTGCAAGGAATCCAAATTACTTTATTGGTTAAAAAGCCCCCAACTCTCTTGTAATTGTATTAACTTCAAATTAATTGTATCCTAATTAATCCTGAACCATCTATTCATAATATATATGGTTTTCTTAAATTCAGGTATACTTGTAATTGACATACTATATTAGTTTCAGGTATGCAACAGAATGATTTGATATTTAAATATACTGTTTTACAAAATTATCACTACAGCGAGTCTAGTTAATATCCATCCCCATTCATAATATCCATAAGAATATGAACATCCAGGAATGTCCATAATATTCTTTCTCTCTCTACCATATTTTCGCCACCAATCTCTTCTTTAGTTAGGATAGGTTTTTGTTTGCAAAGACATTTAAACAACGTTATCAGCAGAAAGTAAATAAAATCTGTTTTTAATGTAACCTCTTAGTATTTAGCTTCGGTTCACAATTTTGTTGATCAGCATTTAGGTTTGATTGGGGCTCAGCCTCCTATATTGAAAAACTGGGAAAAAATAGTGCAATACGTAACCCGTGAAATTTTCCGCCCTGAGTGACCATTTTAAACATATCTGTTTCCTCACACTAGATTGTCAGCTGCATGAAAGCAGGATGGGCCTCTTATTCAACCCAGTGCTTAATAAAGGTTAGCGACTGTTACTACCCCAGCTATGACTGTTACTACGCCTGTTCTTCAACACTATCCTCAGGGCTTAGCACAGTTCCTGATACACAGTGGAAAGAAACATTTATTGAATAAAAGGATTAAGGAAAGAAAGAGAAAAACAAAAGATCCTCTGATAAGATTTAAAATAAAGACAAAAACAACAACAACAACAACAAAACAACCCAGAAGAAAAGCTAATCTAACAGCCCAGAAACCATTTTTGCTTCTCTTCAATGGTGCCTGGGTGGGCAGGAAAAAGGGAAAATCTTTTTTATGTGCCCGTAGGTGTTTTTTTGGTTGTCACTGTTTGTGTTTTCAATATTATTACCACTTGTTATGTGAAATATTTTATATGTCTTACGTTTAACAGCACTTGATAAGATATTTTTAGCTCCCCTCTTTATAAAATTTATTTTTAATCTGTATTCTTGAAAGTATTACATATGTCTTCTCTTTTTCCCCATTGATCCCTTTCAGCCCGCCCCCGCCCCTGCCCCCAGGCCTTCACCACCCTGTTGTCTGTGTACATGGGTTATGCACACTGTGAGCTCCCGTTTATATTAGGGAAACTGAGGTTCAGAGAACTTAATTGACTTGGCCCCAAACTAGAGCCAGCAGGAGGCAAAGCCAGGATCCCACCCAGATCTGTCTGGTTCTCACCTCACATCACCTCTTAATCTCTCACGGCATCGATTCTGGAGATGTTGAGTTAACTGCGATCTTTGGCAGCTTTTGTTGCCCGTGGTGGCAGAAGCCGCCCGACATGCAGAGGGGCAAGCTTTGACACAATCAGTGCATCTGCTCTGGCTGTAGCTCAGGCATTTGGGGCCAGTGGGGTGTGTGCACTGCACCTCCAAACTGAATTCCCTGTTTTGCGCTAATGGGGACCTGCCCTTGTTTCCTGGTAGAGAGTTGTGTGAGTTTGATATCATAACTTGTCTCCAAGTTGTGCATTGCTTTTTTCTTTTCCTTTCACAAATGTTTTAAGAGAAAGAACAATCTGAAGGCATTCAACAGGCAGTGTTACACTCCAGCCCTCGGTCATATTTTAAGCAAAACTTAAACAATTTCATTTTTATTTACACAATCTACACTAATAAAAGAGAAACATGGTAATTAGCGTACGACCGCTACCCTTCCCATTGGCTAATCAGCATATCCTTATGCAAATTAACTGTCAGCCAAGATGGCGGCCGGCAGCCAGGCAGCTGGAAGCGAACATGAGGCTTGCTTGCTCCAGTGACTGCAGACTCCAACGTTCCCCGCCTGACTTGCCGGCCTCTGAGTTGCAACTCTAAGCAACTATGTACTATGTTGCAAATAAGAAGCTAAACAAAACCCCAGAAACCAGCTTTCAGCCTGCCGGGATCTCAGAGCTGAAGTTATACATTGTCTCGATTATAGAACGGCAAACAAACCAGATACGAAGCCTCAGAGCTAGAGCCAGAGCTAAAGCTGGCCCAGAATAAAATAAAAAAAGAGAAAAAAAAGGAGCGGTTGGGAGCTTCAGTCAACAACCGCCAGCCTGAAAGCAGCCCTCAGCCCCTCACCCAGACTGGCCAGGCACCCCAGTGGGGACCCCCACCCTGAAGGGTGTGTGACCAGCTGCAAACAGCCATCATCCCCTCATCCAGGCTGGCCAGGCACCCCAGTGGGGACCCCCACCCTGATCCAGGACACCCTTCAGGGCAAACCAGCCGGCCCCCAGGCCTCTATCCTATATAGTAAAAGGGTAATATGCCTCCCAGCACCGGGATCAGCGGAGCCGCGAGGCCTCTTGGCACCAGATCAGCGTGACAGGGGGCAGCGCCCAAACCCCCTGATCGCCCTGCAGCTCTGTGTGTGACAGGGGGCGGGGCCACAACCTCCCTATCCGCCCTGCTCTGTTCGTGACAGGGGAAGGCACCCCAACCCCCTGATCAGCCCTGCTCTGTGCATGACA